AATCTACATGTCATCAATAGAGTAGCTTCTTTAAAAAAAGAAAACCTAGAATAGCTTGGGTGAGGTGGTGCTTACTTGTAATCCTAGCTATTTGGGAGCCTGAGGTGGGAGGATCACCAAAGCCAGCCAGGACAATTTAGAGATAGTCTGTCTCAAAATTTAAAAAAGGATTAGGGATGTAGTTACTTCATTGATAGAGTGACCCTAGGTTCCCCAGACCTTGGGAGTTTGGGGAGGGAGTCCAAGTTTACAACTTAAAAACCTAGGAATATCCACATTAAGTACTGTAGTGTAGCAATTTTTAAAAACAAAGTACAGGGCTGGGGAGGTGGCTCAAGCGGTAGCACGCTTGCCTGGCATGCGTGCGGCGCAGGTTTCGATCCTCAGCACCATATACAAACAAAGATGTTGTGTCCCCTGAAAACTGAAAAGTAAATGTTAAAAAAAAAAAAGTACATGTACCCAAACTGTCAAAACCTTCTAAGATAAAATTGGCAAAAAGCAAGTGACAAAAATTACATACAGTGCAATGCAATTTACATAAAAGAAGTCCCCATGTGCTAAAAATATGCTCTTAATTTGCAGTCATCTCTGTATGAAAGTTTTTGGGTGATATGATAAAATAAATAAAATCTTTAAAAATATGCTGTCTTCTGGAAGTATATAGATAAGAATATAAATACAAAGAAAGAGGGCTAGAAAGATGTTACCAAACGGATTGATATCATGTTTCTGATATTAGGATATTTGGAAAAGTAGAATTTTATCTTATTCATAGCACCCATAAGAGAATCCACTTGTTTAATTTATGTAAATTAAAAAAAAATAATGAGACAATCCTGGGCTGAAATCCAAGCTTTGGAGAAGGAAGTCCCAGGGTACATGGAGATGAGGAGTGGCAAGAACAGGGCATCTGCTAAAGGGACTTGGTAGAGAGGGTAAAGGAAAATGGGAATAGAGCACAAAGCAGGGTGGGGTGGGGTGGGGGTGGGGGTTGGGTTAGTCTCCTGTGTCCAGAATATTTAAAACACCTTTCAAACATTCCAGAATCAGTGGAACTGGCAATAGTCAGCAAAGAATATTGAGAACTGAATAATAACAAAATACACTATATTTTAGGCCTGTGTGGTACAGTGAAATATTTTGCTTTTTTGGGGTACCAGGAGTTGAACCCAGGAGCACTTGACCACTGAGCCAGACCCCCAGCCCTATTTTGTATTTAATTTAGAGACAGGGAGGTTCTCACTGAGTTGCTGAGGGCCTTGTTAAATTGCTGAGGCTGGCTTTGAACTGGCGATCCTCCTGCCCCAGGCTCCCAAACTCCTGGGATTACAGGTGCCCACCACTAGGGAATATTTTGATGAATATGTATAGCTTTAGGTGCTTAGACTGGGGGAGATTTTTGTAGATAGATTAGTAATATATTTACTGACCAAATGATAACCAGATAACTGACTTTCAGGGATGGTCAACAATATAATGCTGCTTGTGTCAGCCTGTTAACTTCTTAGTGATGATATAAACACTGGGCATTTGCCCTTTATTTTATTTATTTATTTATTTTTTAAAGAGAGAGACAGAGAGAATTTTTTAATATTTATTTTTTAGTTTTCGGCAGACACAACATCTTTGTTTGTATGTGGTGCTGAGGATTGAACCTGGGCCGCACGCATGCCAGGTGAGCGCGCTACCGCTTGAGCCACATCCCCAGCCCATGAGCCACATCCCCAGCCCAGCATTTGCCCTTTAAATATGTAAGCTTTGTGAGCAAAGGATTATTATTGGTTTTTGCATTGCTGAGGATTGAACCCAGGGTCTGGAGCATGCTAGACCAGCACTCTACCACTGAGCTCTGTCCCCAATTTCTTCTTTTATCCATTGCTTCACTCTCAGCCTCTAGAATAGTGCCTAGAACATAGAATGTACTCAGTAACTATTGTCAAATGAATAAATCTAACCAAAATTACGATGTAACTACATCAGAAGGCTATTGTGACAGAAAATGTACACATGGATGGTGGTAGTGGGATGAAAGAATAAAATCTTTTTTTATTTCCCAACGCTGGGGATTCAGCCCAAGGCCTTAGCTTACCACTGAGCTCTTCCTCCAACCCCTAAATTTTATAATGAGAAAATAATAGGTAATGTCTAAAAGTGAAAACTTAAGAAACAACAGAAGCATGTGATTTAGAAATTCAGATGTCTCACAATGGCCTGACTTCCAATTTTTTGATGGTGGCAAAGTGTTACAATATAAATATTTTTCACTTTCAGTATTCAGCAAATTATGGATTATTTAACACTTTGTTATAAAATAGGTCTGTGTCAGAGGATTTTGCTGAACTGTAGGCTAAAGTAAGTTTTCTCAGTTAAAGTGGCTGGGCACACTATTGATGTTTCATATAGGTTAGCAATTAAAGGCATTTTTCAGCTTACAATTTTTTTTGACTTCTGATGAGTCTATCAGGATGTAACTAACCCCAGTAAATTGAGAAGCATCTGCTTATAGTAAATGCCAAAAGCAAAGCAAAATAGTGAAAAGACTTGAAATTACTAGTCTCTGAGATGGAAATAGGAAGATTTCTTTTCATATATTTTTTTTAGTTGTAGTTGAGACAATACCTTTATTTTGTTTATTTATTTATTAATATTTTTAGTTGTAAATTGATCTTTTTTTTTTTTAATTTATATGTGGTGCTGAAGATTGAACCCAGGGCCTTACTCGTGCTAGGCGAGCGCTCTACGACTGAGCCACAACCCCAGCCCGGGAAAATTTCTTAAAAATAAAAGAGAATCTTTGGCATATCATTCATTTGTTCTAATCTATTAGCATGTATAATGGATTACATAGTGTTCCCATAAACATATGTCTACATCCTAATCCCAAGAATTTATAAATGTGACATTTTGAGGGGAAAACAGGTCTCAGGAGATGTAATTAAAGGTCTTAAGGTGAAATCACCTTGGATTATCTGGGAAAGCCCCAAGTCAAATGACTTGTCTTCTTAAAAGGCACAGAAGAGGGGCTGGCATTGTGGTTCAGTGGCAGAGCTCTTGCCTAGCACATGAGAGGCACTGGGTTCAATCCTCAGCATTACATAAAGAATAAATAAAAGCATTGTGTCCATCTACAACTAAATATAATTTTTATTTATTTATTTGGAGAATTTTAATATTTATTTTTTTAGTTATTGGTGGACACAACATCTTTGTTTTGTATGTGGTGCTGAGGATCGAACCCGGGCCGCACGCATGCCAGGCGAGCTCGCTACCGCTTGAGCCACATCCCTAGCCCTAAATATAATTTTTTAAAAAGGCACAGAGGAGAGAGAGAGAAGAGGAGAGGGAAGGCCATATGAAGATGGAGACAGAGACCAGAATTATAAAGAAATGCTGGAATCATCTGATGCTGAAAGTGGCAAAGAAAGATTCTCTCTAGAGCCTTCAGAGAGAGCAGGATACCCTTGACATCTTGATTTCAGGCCAAGGGCTTCCAGAACTGTGAGAGAATAAATTTTTATTGCTTTAAACCATCAAGTTTAAGTCATTTATAATAGCAGCCCTAGGAATCATCCAAGATAGCATGCATAATTAGGATAAAATAAAAATAAGAAAATTTATTGAGGCATTCATCACATGGGTTAAAAAAAGCAAATAATCAATATATGCAGAGAAAGCATTTGATGAAACTCAACTCTGGGGGCGGGATAAGGAAGAAAGAAAGAATTTTGGATTGTGCAGAGGTAAGTGTGGGGAGGGGTAGGGCTGTGGGGATGGAAAGGACGGCAGAATAAGACAGACATTATACCCTATATACAGGTATTACACTACTGGTGTGACTCTGCACCCTGTATAGCCCGAGGAATGAGAAGCCGTGCTCCATTTGTGTACAATGTGTCAAAATGCATTCTACTGTTATATAGAACTAATTAGAACAAATTAAAAAAAAAATGGAAGGGAGATTAGGAGAAAAGAATAAGGGGATCAGGGGGAGGGAGAGGTGGGAAAGAGGAGATATTGGGGGATAAAATTGATTAAAATTATACTGTTTTATTGTGTACGTATTTATATATTATAACAAATCCCTCTGTTGTATATAATTATAATGCATCAATAAAAAGAGGGAAAAAGTCAACTCTGACTCATGAAATAGAAAATCTGCTTTAAAGAAAAGATCACTAGTGAACTAAAGTAGACTAGACCTTCCTTCCTGATGAAGGATTGTCTATTAAAAACCTAAAAAAAACCTGGGCAGTTAAGCCCTATAAGTCCCAGCTACTTAGGAGGCTGGAGCAGAGGATTGCCTGAGCCCAGGAGTTTAAGGCCAGCTTGGACAGCAGAGCCAGACCTTGTCTCAAAAAAACAAAAACAAAACAAACAAAACCCTATGGCAAGGACTAGCTCAGTGGTAGAGGACTTGCCTACGAGGCTCAAGTCCCTGGTTTTCATCCCCAGCACTGTCAACAAACAAAAAACATATATTGCTTCCATTCATTCCTATATGAGACATAGCCAGCACAGTAAAACAAACAAAAACTGACAAATAATAGGTTACAGACATACTCAGTTCACTCCTAAGTTGGCAATGAATGAGCCAGGAGAGGAAAACACAAGTCAGGAAAAGGCAGGTAGAGATCAAGTGTAGCAGTGGGGAGCTAAGGTCCCCTAATTGCCCCCATGTTCTTTGAATCAAAGTAGGGCCAAGAAGTGGGTGTGTGGGGGTGGCTGGGAGCTGGGAGGGTGGGAAATTACCAGAGATAATGATGCAGTATCACTCCCTACCACCCAGTATAGGTGCTCCCTCCTTGCCCTAAGGGACAGCTTCCTCTACAGCAAAGCCTCTATCCAGAACCTCTACATTCATCAGTACAAAAAAGCTCCAGCCTTTATTAAATAAAAAGGAGGTAGAAGACAGATAAGGGTACAGGCTAGGACTCCTTCCTCCCCCTGAACATACACAGACATACAAACAGATACAAYCAAGTAAATGACAGAGATGATCAGGGGACAGAACAAGGGGCAGAGGGAGGCAGCACCCTCCKCGAATGGTCCCGGACCCAAGGGTGAGCTGAGACCTGGGCCAGGGGCAGCCTTTCAGAGGGGTTATGTTTGAGCAGCTTGCAGATGAGGTCCTGGGCCCCTGCGGGCATAGAAGGAGGGAACTTCAGGTCCACCTGCAAGTGTGGAGAAAGAAGAAAGATGGCATTTGTCACCATGGTTACTTTCCTTGATTACCTACTCTATTCAGAGACTTGCGCAGGGCCGAGCACATCCATTCTGTCTACTGTCAGTCCCAGCCTCTGAAGCTGACAGAGCCTCAGGCAGCCCTCTTACCTTGACGATCCTCCGATAGGTCTCATTGTGTGAGGCACTCTCGAAGGGTGGGTTTCCCACCAGCAGCTCATAGCAGAGTATCCCGATGCACCAGAGATCTACCTTCTCATTGTGTGTGCGCCCCTCAATCATCTCTGGGGGCAGGTAGTCCAGGGTACCACACATTGTCTTCCTCCTGGGGGGATGAAGAAAGCGGGCATGAGTCTCAGGTCAGACAGACTTTCCTCTCCCTGATGGCTGGGTACCAACTGTCACCCAGATGCACCAGGAGAGTGTTCCAGTCAAACCAGATAGCAACACTGGGTAGAGCTGGGTGATGAAATAAACCAAAGCACCAGAGGTTGGCCTACCCACTGCCCCTCATTGCCACACTGAGAGATGTATCCTAATAAAATAATTTGACATAAAAGCAATACTCATCTTGCAATTAAAGAAAAATTGGAGACCTCTCTAATGCCCACCAAGAATGTTCTGCTTAAATAACTGAGGTTACATCTCTACTATGCAATACCATGAAACCAGGAACAATGACAATGGATAGTCAGGCATGGTGGCACAGGACTGCAATCCCACTGATTCAGGAGGCTAAGGTAGGAGGATGGGAAATTCAAGGCCAGACTTGACAATTTAGCAAGGTCCTGAGCAATTGAGTGAGATTCTACCTCAAAATAAAAAATAAAAAGCACTGGAAATGTAGCTCATAGTATTTGTAAGGCCCTAAAAATGTTTGAGAGTTTTCTCAGTGATATGGCAAAAGGGTCCCAATATATCAAGTAGAAAACCTTTGTCACGGGGACAACCAAACTGTTTGAGTCTGTTATGTGAGGTCAAATCCCAACATCTGGGTAATAAGATTTGAAGGGGTTTTATGTAGAATGCTGCAGCCTTATGTCAGGGCTCCCCCAACCCTTGCCCCAGCCATCATACCTCAGAGAGGGAGCGTGCACCGACCAGCCAAAATCCGCAATCTTCAGCTCACCTTGGAGCCCTAAAAGCAGATTTTCTGGCTTTATATCTCTGTGAATCACCTTTTTCCCATGGCAGTATATCAGAGCATCCGCCAACTCCTCCATGATCTGAGAGGGTCAACAACAGGCAGTTAGGCCTCCAGCTATAAGCCACATATCCCCAGCCTCCAAACCCCTGGCTGAAGTCCCAGGTGCCCACCCGCCCCGACCGTGGCTGTTCGTTGCTCATCAAAAGTGCGGCACTTCTGTAGCTCCTTGTAGAGCTCTCCTCGGGGGGCATACTCCAGAATCAAGTAGATCCTCCTCCGATCATAAAAATAGTTGTAGAGCCGCAAGATGTTGGGATGCCTGCAAGAAGAGAACCGGTAAGAAGACAGGACCCAATGGGTTGAACTAGGGTCACACATGGACCAGGGATAGGAGTAGATAGGGGGAGCTGGGATAGCTGGCCCACACTGAGAACTAAAGGGGGCTCACTGGTCACAGCTAAGAGACAGCAATCTGGGGTAAGGGCACAAATGGGGTTAGGTTCCAAGATGGGAACATACTGCAGATGGGCCTGGATCTCGATCTCCCTGCGCAGCTGGTGTTCCACACCTTCCTTCTCGATCTGGGACTTGAAGAGGACCTTGAGTGCCACAATGAAATGACTTTTCTTCTCTCGAGCCAAGTACACATTTCCAAATTTGCCTTTGCCCAGAGGACGCCCAATCTCAAAGTCGTTGATTGTGAGGGGCTGTCTATTAGAAAGTGGGGGGGCAGGCAGCTCAGTGCTCACTTGTCTACCCTCTAAGGTGTATGCTTTCCCTCCCTCCCTCAACCCCATTCTCTTCATCACTACACCTCCAGCCTTTAGGTTTTACTTCCCCCATTTCCTGCCTCTTCACTATCTCATCCCACCCTCCACCCCCAGGCTTGAGAACTTACCTGGAGTTTCGAACGCCAATGCTATTTTCTCCCACCTTCTGGCCATGGGCAGCTAAGGAGAGAGCAGGTAAGTTGAGGCCCTCTTTTCATATTCTCATCCCTAAACCCTCCCAGATCTAGCCCCTGTGGTCAATCTTCTTCCCCTTTTCCCAGTTACCTGTGGGCAGGCCGTTGGGGCGACTCATGAGGACAAGTGCAGATGGGGTGGCAGGCTCCTTCCGGAGGACCCTCTGGGGTAGGGTGTTCAGGCCCGATTGAGACTGAGAAGGAGCAGGGGTAGCTCTGAGGGTGCCTTTGTCCTGGAGACCAGGCTGGAATGTGCTGCAAGCAGCATTTCATCTACTTGCTAAAGAGCCACCCACCCTTCCACCCCTAGTTCAAAGAAAAAGACTTATAACTACAATCTGGCCCCGTAGTTTCAAGATTCTATTTATTGCTGCACATTAAAATGGGTTACTAAGGCACTGGACTCATAGCACAGTGGTAGAGCACTTGCCTAGCATGTGTAAGGCACTGGGTTTGATTCTCAGCACCACATATAAATATTGATTGAAAACTAACTAACTAAATAAAAATAAATAATTACTAATAAACAATCTAAGATTAACATCAAACATTTCACCTTTTTGGTTTTGGTCCACATTACTTTCTGAAGCACAAAACTGTCCAACCTGTATAGTCCTGTCTGTATCAACACCCTCATTCACCCAGCCTCCAATCCAGCAGAGGGCTGGGTCAATGAACATCCACAATTCAATGAATTTAACACAGAGGCTTTCTCAAAGTCCTTTAAAAAGCTCAGACCATTAAGAATTGAATAAGATCCTTGAAGACTTGAATGTTGCAGCAAACATCAGTATGTAATTTTCTACAATAGGCTTTAGAGACATCATGGTCTATTCCAATGGCCTTGGACCACTTCTTCACTTTTAACTTGTCAGAGACACACTTTATTTGGGGAATGACCAAGGCAAAAGGACAATGGTTTCTCTTTCAGACTCCACTATTGTGAGCCTGACTTTGTATTCCATGAGGGAATAAGCAGGTGGCAAGGGAACACATGGACTCTCTAGGATGCCAAGTTCCAACACCAGGGAGCAAAGCCTGTGCAGGACTCTTTCCTTCTTCAGCCAAGAGAAGAAAGCCCCCAGTACCCCTAAAAGTYTGTTCCCGGTGATATTAGTATAGATTGACAAATAACAAAGCTGATAGTTGGTTATTTGTCAATCTATACTATACACAATATAGTCCAGAAATTGACTATTTTCACATCTACATGGAAATAATATATGACATTTCAAATCAAAGGGTAAGCAGGATTTGGTTGTACGCACACCTCTAATCCCAGTGACTTAGAAGGCTATACCTGTAGGATCACAAGTTCAAGGCCAACCCCAGCAAGTTAGTGAGACTCCGTTTATCTCAAAATTAAAGGGACAGGGGGAATTACCCTAAGTACATGTATGAAGTCACAAATGATGTGACTCTACTTTGCGTACAACCAAAGACATGAAAAATTGTGTACTATAAATTGAAATGCATCCTGCTGTCATATATAACAAAAAATAAAAAGGGCTGGGGAAGTAGCTCAGTGGTATAAAGTCCTCTTATGTTTCATTTTTGGTATCAAAAAACAAACAAACAAACAAACAAAAAATAAAATCAGAGGGTAGAGTCTTCAATGAAAGATATTTGGATAACTGGAAAATAAATCTATTTGGATCCTTACTTCATACCTGTCATTAAAGCAAATTCAAGGGCTGGGGAAGTAGTTCAGTGATAGAGTGCTTTCCTAGCATACACTGGGTTCAATCCCAACTATTGAAGATAAATTTCAAAGTATTATTTTTAGACTGGACATTTTAATCAATAATTATATCTGTGTTCTTCCAGAGTCAATTCTCTGCCCAGTTTATTTTTTCTGGATGAGGACGGGGAATCATAGCCCGCAGACCAAACCTTGCCTGTTCAGGCCCAGATATAATTTTCCTGTGACAAGTAGGCTCAGCTCTACAAAAATCCTCAAGGGATGAGAGAGTCACTATTGAAGTTGACAACATTTGGCTGCAAATGACCAGATCAGTTCCTGCATGCAGCAAACTCTTGGGGCTCATAGGTAGGAGCTCAACAGGGAAGAAAAGGGCTTAGAGGATCGCCCTCTGCAGGACTTGAACTCTCCAAGTAGGAACTCTCCTAGCACGGAGTGTGATTGGGGGGTGGGGAAGTGGCCGGAAAGGTGGAAAGGGCCTTACCGTCTGCCGGCCGTAAGGCCAGGGGTAGGCATTCTCCTTCTGGGCCATCCTTAGAAAGTAGGAGGAGAGCTGGGTGGAGAAGGGAAAACAGAGCTGTGAAAAGCAGAGAAAAGAGTGAGAGAGGAAAAGAGAGAGGTCGGACCATCTAACCGGAAATGCTCGCCTGGGCTGGAGGAAGGGAGGGCTGCCTTTAGGCTTCTGGGCTCGGCTCTCAGCGCCCCCGCCCTGCTCTCTGTCCCACCCACTTTCCGGACCCTCTCTCTATCCTTGAACGCTCAGCAGCCTGGCGGAGTGCGCGCGGGCCCACCAACGGACAGCCTGATCTGCCTCACCACCTGCCCTCTCCCAGCTCAGGGCCCGCGAAAGGAAAGCAGCTCACCCGGAGCCCGTGGCACAGCTACTGTCCCCGTCGTCCGCAAAAAACTACTGAATCTGCCTGGTTGCAGCTTTGCAGAGGCACTTTCAAATCTCCCGCCCCGGCCCCATTGGCTACATCCGTCCTGTGACGTAGGCGTGAGCAGCCAATGAGCGAGCTACCGCGCGCTGGGTTCGAGCTTAGCAAAGTTTCCCCAGACATTTTCTTTCATTTAAAAAATTTTAAATACGCCCGGGATTTACCTTTCTGTAGGAACTAGAGTCTTTGTTTTCTATCAGATGGAGAGAGCCAATTATGCCAACGCCATTGGTTAAAACAAACTACCCTGTTCCCAACAGTTTGAAATGCTGCCCTTAATAATAAAAATCATCGTGTATTCAGTCGTCTCTAGTTATTTGTGGGTGATTGGTTCCTGGACACCCTACACACACACACACACACACACACACACACACACACACACACACACGCTGCCTAGACATCCTTGTATAAAATGGCGTCATATTTGCATAGAACCTACACATTCTGAAGTCTAGGTTAAATCATCTCTAGATTACTTAAGATAACTAATATGATATAAATGCTGTGTCAGTAGTTGTAATACTATATTGGTTAGGGAATAATGATGCAAAAAGTCTGTACATATTCAGTATAGATTTTTTTTTTCTTTTGGATCCACAATTGGTTGAGTTTTGGATGCAGAACCTATGGTTATTTGAGTATCAATTGTTCTTGACTATTTCTGGGCTCTCTGTTACACTGTCCCTTTGTGTGTTTATTTATTCTTATGGATTTACTATTTTGATCTAATAAGTCCTTTATGTTCCTAGGAGGAATTTTCCACCAGTGGATCTTTCTCTGTTGGTCCTCAGATACCTGGCATGTTGCTTGGATTTATTTTCATTTTCATTGCTTCTTGCCTCGCTTTTTTTTTTTTTTTCTTCCCCTCAGCTCCATACCCTTTTCTCACCCTCAAATTTCATTCATGGGTTAAATTAAAACATATTAGCTCTGGCTGGGTGGTGCATAACTGTAATCCCAGTGACTTTGGAGGGTGAGGTAGGAGGATTGCAAGCTCAAGGCCAGTCTCAGCATTTAGTGAGGCCCTAAGCAATTTATTGAGACCCTGTCTCAAAATAAAAAGGGCTGAGGATATGGTTCAGTGGTACAGGCCCTTGGGTTCAATCTTGGCTACAAAAAGAAAAAAACAAAACAGGGCCTTCTATGAAATAATACCTAGTATTATAGTGTATGCCCTATCTAGAAGCCTTCCCTTTTTTTTCCTCTCCGGAAGGAACCACCTGCCTCCCCATTCTGTGTAGTGTAGTTGTACTGTGTGTCTGTAATCTGAACAAGGTTAGAGACCTGGATTGGCCTTTTTTGTACTCAAGAATTCTCTTAACACTTCCCTTATTTGCAAGATAGGGTCTTTTCCTTATTTTTATTTATTTATTTAGGTACTGGAAATTGAACCCAGGGGCACTTTATCACAGATCTACATCTCCAGCTCTATTTCTTAGAGATATTTTTTTATTAATTATTGATAGACATTTATAGTGCTGAGACTTGAACCCAGTGCCTCGCACATGCTAGGCAAGCTCTCTACCACTGAGCCACAACCCCAGCCATTCTATTTGTTATTTTGGGACAATGTTTCAAGAAATTGCTTAGGGTGTAGCTGAATTGCTGAGGTTGGCCTTGAACTTGCCAACCTCCTGCCTAGCTTCTAGAATTGCTTGGCCTGTGCCACCATACCTGCTTGTTCCTTTTATTATGAAAAGCAGATTTTGAGAAGCACTCAATAGGTTCCTTGTTGGTGAGAATTGTGTCACAAGACTGCTGCGAAGGAGGCTGGTAAAGTCAGCATCTCTCCCAGCTGCTAGGGTGAAAGTGTAACAGTGGTCCACTTTACCATTTGAATATAGCTCTCCTTGCTCTGAGGTTTCTTTTTAAAAAGACGTGTTCTTCTCCCTATCCCTAACAAGATTAGGGAGAAAGTGTTTGCTTTTCTTCCCCTAATTAATTGTCCTTGAACTCATCCACCACAGGAAGAAGATATCTGCCAGAGGATCTAAGAAGTGAATTTCAACACACCTTCAGAGTGCACCTGGGACCCCCTGTCAGGGCACACTTGGAATGCAGCCTTTGAAGAGCTTCTTTAAAAGCCCTCTGTTTCCCTGATGGGCACAATCACAGCCTCAGGGACAAGAATCCCCTGTGCTTCTCTTTTGCTTGCAAAGCAATAAAACTTCTGTTCCCTTTTCTCTGTCCTCATTATTAAATTGGCATGAATTGGCACTGAGGACAAGGATCAAGCTTTCGGTTACAAAAGCAAGAGGAAGCTGGTAGAAATAAGTGTATGCCTCAATGGCCTACAGGTTTGTTCTAGGGAGCCCAAGATTAATTTGAAAAGTCAGAGATCTGTGTATGATGAGACATTTCCAAAGAGTTGATAATCAAGGCAAGGCCATCATACTCCATTTGTGAAACACCATTTCGATACTGAAGGTACACACTCTTTTTACGTAGGGTCAGCTCAACCTCACTTCCCAAGATCAGGGACTCTATTTTTATTGCAACTCTTTTACCAACTCATTAGGCATAAAGAGACCAGCTAAGGAAGCATTTTTTACAAAAGTTCTATTACTTGGAGTATACTGTATTCCTCATGACCTACTCTAGGAAGACATTTCTTAAACCTGTCAGGGGACAGATTACAGAAGTGGATTATGCCTGATAGATCCAATACAGTATCTCTATCCCCTGGAATCTTTAAATTTCTACCTGCACATTATATTAGAACAATTTGGGGCCTTTCAGGAATGTTTGTGGGCCAGCATAGGATTGAGATTTGCGTCTTTCATAAATCAATTTCCCACCTGTCTGCCCAAATTAATGAATAAAACCTGTTATCTACCTCAGTGCTTCTCACATGATTTGTGGAGAAGGACCAGTCTTGATTATTTTCAATTTCTCACAAGTCAATACTTTCATAAAATATAATACATATATATGCATTGGAAAGTTAAATCTGAAACAACATAAAAATTACAAGCCCACTCTGGGGATATGGCTCAGTTGGTAGACTGCTTGTTTTACATGCATAAGGCCCTGGGTTCAATCCTTGCACCCCCCMMAAAAAAAATTCACAAGCCCATATAAAAAAAGGACATATAAAAAAGTGCTCTGACAGATGCTATAAGAGTTTCTAAATGCTTACTTTAAATTCTACACTTGTCCTGGATGAGGAAAAAAAGAAAAAAGTAGCACCAGTCTGTGGACCACACTTGGAATATATACCTATCTATCACCACAGCAATAAATACAATTCTGTTTAAAATTGTGTTCTGTTCTCCTTGGTCAGGAACACTTGAAATCCATTCTCCTGCAAATATGTTACCATTTTGTTCTTAAAAACAAAAACAAAACCAAAAGAAAACAAACCAAAAACTTCACCAGTTTCTGATGATATAAAGTGGCAATTTCCTCTTGGTGTAACTTTTGTTTTTTCTCTTGATTTTTCATCTCTTGGATCATGTTAGATGTGGGGTGGATTCTACTGTCCAAGAAGCAATGAAAGGTTGTTCTTCTGTCAGGGGCTGATCTTTCACATGACTAGGAAGGGTCAGCACTGTTTTATGTTCAAAGGACAGGGCAGGATGTCTAGATTACTACAATGTTTGGAAAGCCAGGATGTCAGTTTCTTTCATTTATTTATTAAGAAACAGGATCTCTCTATGTTGGCCAGGCTCATGTGATCTGGCAGTTCAGTTCCCCTTCCTCCCTCCCTTCCTCCCTTCCTTCCTTCCTTCCTTCCTTCCTTCCTTCCTTCCTTCCTTCCTTCCTTCCTCCCTCCCTCCCTCCCTCCCTCCCTCCCTTCCTTTCTTTCTTTTCCAGGGATTGAACCCAGGGGCGTTTAACCACTGAACCACATCCCCACATCATAGCTCTTTTTATTTTGAGACAGTGTCTCACTAAATTGCTGGCTTCCCTAAATTGCTGAGACTGGCTTTGAACTTGCAATCCTCCTTCCTCAGCCTCCCAAACCTCTGATATTACAGGCATGCACCACTGTGCCTGGCAAGTTTCTTTTATTTCTGATAATATTCCAATAAAAAATGTGAAGATATGAATTTTCATCATCAACCAACAAACCCCTGCCAGAGATTAAAGATAGGCTCAGAAGGTTTTGAAAGGTTCTTGCTGAGGAAGTCTGTCGATGCCCTTAGGTCTTTCCACTAAGTTTTCCTTTTCAAGATAAAGCTGAGGCAAAGCTGTGGAATTAATTGGGTATCCTTGTCCTATCCAGATTCATTTGAGCATCCCTACATCAAAGGGCATCACTATCTTAGTTTGCTCTTGGCTATCATAGCCCAGGTGTTTGTCTTTGGTGAAAACCACAGGCCTGAACAAACAAGTTCTAGCCACCACGACTGAGAACTGAGACCATGTCCAGATCCAGACCATAGGACATTTATGCATCATCCCAGGATGAACCAATCAGCCAGAAGGTATCCCTTCCCAGGTGACTGAACAGCAAGCCTCTGTACTACACCAGAAACTTTTCAACTTTTTACTGTATCCTTCATACAGGAAATGGAGAGCTGGATTTATTTTCACAAACTGAACAAGCCTATGTAATCAACACCCAAATAAACAAATGAAAGCCCCAGAAGGCCCACTCATTCTCCTTTCCTTCCCACCACCCACTTTTCCC